TTCTTTCCCAGCCAGGGGCTCTACCCCTTGGAACCCCAACGGGGCGCTACCCCGCACCCCGCCAGGGGCTTCTCCCCTTAGAACCCCAGCGGGGCGCTGCCCCGCACCCCGCCAGGAGCTTCGCCCCTCGGAATCCCTTTTCAATTATTCGCATTCAATTACACGTTGGTTCGACGAGCGTGCACTCCGCACTACCCTAACTCGTTTCCAAACTTAACACATAATTGCATCGGCCTACAGTAAATCACATTACTACTAAAATACATTGATGATACTAAAATCACCAACAACCCTTCATTACCTCGCTTGTGTAACCTAGATAAAATCTACTTCGCGCCCGAGGTAAGATGTGTTTTTTGTAGTAGTGAAGCTTCCTTTCCAAAGCAGTCTTCGCTCAAATCTACCAATACCTTGTTTGAGCCTTTGTTCTATTCAAGGATTTTGAACACTCCCAAACATCGTTCTGCAACTATCTTCTCTTGGTACGACCAAAGTTTTCAATGGATAAGGAAATAATCTTTTTCCCTCTTGGCAGTTAGTATCTAAATATCATAATCACAATATCAAATCTTCAATCTGATACACACAAAAAGGTTCACAAAGTTCATTAGATTCTCTAATGTAGCTTGAATTTACCACTCACGCTCAATCTTTAAAGTTTAGTACCGCAACAATGTAGTTTCTTGGTTCAACGTTAAAGATAATTGGCTATCATGAAAAAACTAACACAACTCCTAAACATATCTAACTCAATCAGCACACTATAAAGTTTTTCTATAGACTTGACATGAGAGAAAATATTTAAAAGAAAAACACTCAAGTTTTTTCTAGATTTATGAGTATGGATTTTTCTATCAGAGTATATTACTCTATCATTAGAGAATGATAACAAAGGATTATAAGGTGCAAGAATTAAGACAAAAAATATGTGAGAAAATGAACAATTGATTTGAGTTAGGTCATACGTTTATGATTTGAATTAGAGGAAAGAATGACTTGAATTAAGGTGATAAAAATCTAAAAATGACTTGTTTGATTCAGATCATGATTTGATACATGTGATTCGATTCAAGCAATTAGATGATTCAAATAATAGTTGGTTTTTAAAAGTTTGTTTAATCATGATTTTAGTCATACAATATTGTGATTCACATCAAAGGGGTCGGTGATTCGAATCAGACACATCCTTGATTTGAATCACTAATATAACTCCAAAATCTACATTTCAAATTGAATTATTGTTTCAAATCAGGCATATCCTTGATTCAAATCAAACTTCAAAAACTCCATGTTTTAAGTTCTCTAACTCGTGATTCAAGGCGCGCGCGCACACACATACATATGCACACGCACGCACACATGCACGCATGCACGCGCGCGCGCGCACACACACACACACACACACACACACACACACACACACACACACACACACACACACACACACACACACACACACACATATATATATATATATATATATATATATGTTGACTTTGACCAACCACTACAAGAAAACATGCAATTTGCTAAGTGATTTAGTGACGTGGTAATAATGTGGGAAAAAATAGACGTTGCGACGTGTATACCACGTCACTATATTATTTTATTAATAAACATAACAAATTCAAGTTTCGTAATGGTGCGTGCTTCTTTAATGTGGGAGGGAAATTTGAATTATTCTAGAATTTCATTTGTGGTGTGGTAACCACGTGGGAAAATGAAATTCAAAAATATCTTATTTTTTTCGACATGGTAAATAGGTCAGAATGTTCTGACGTGAGTCCCACGTCGCTAATAGGCAATAATTAATTTTGGTCTGCATTTTGTTTTTACAGTTGAGACATAATAAATACTGATTTGACTTTGGAAGTGTACCGACGTGGTACCCACATCGTAAGTTAATTTTAAATTATTTTGGTATTTTATTATTTTTTACCGTTGGGTGTTTTGATTGTTTTATGACAGATAATAAATATTAAGAAAGTTCCGACGTGACACTCGCGTGGCTACTTTTCCAAGTGTTTATAACATCACAAATACTAATATATATATATATATATATATATATATATATATATATATATATATATATATATATATATATATATATATATATATATATATATATATATATATATAGGCCTTTTTTTTAATATTACCGTTGAATACTTAGAATCTTTCGACGTGGTATTCACGTGGGTACTTTCCCACGTGTTTACCACGTCAAAAACTCACTATATATAATCCCAATTCTCCAGAACTATTCAGCTTTCGTTGCTTCGTTTCTTTCTTCTCCTTCCTTCTGTTTTCTCTGCTTCCTTCTTTGTGCCTTTAGTTCATTTCACATATATTTTTTTACAAGTTTTCATTTTAAGTTAAAGGTACGGTTTATGTTTTCTTCATTATTTTTAATTCTTTTTCTTTTGCTATCGTTTTACATTTTATTTTAATATTTTCTCATTATTAATTTTTAATTTTTTTAAATCAAAAGATCAATATTTGGAAGATTCAAGAGGAGCTCATCAAGATTCAAGATTTAAGCTTTATTGTTGATCCATTGAGATATTTATGTAATTTAAATTATTTATTTTTCAGAGTTATATGAATAATATTGTATATGGAATATTTGGATGTTGTTGTATAAAAATTGAATTTATTGATTATATATGAAATTATTTAGGTTTTATAAGATTACGTATTTGGTTGTTTGGTTGTTGTTGTGTAAAAATAGAATATATTTTTTTAAATGTGTTATTTTTATTAAAAACAAAATATATTATATTTTAGTAAATAGAATTGTAAGAATTAGTTTTTAGAAAAAATAAATTTTTAAAAATAATGAATATATATTATATTTTAAATTTGTTATTTTTAGTAAACACATTATATATTATATTTTATAAGATGTATTATATTTTAGTAAACAAAATATATATTATATTTAAAAAAAAAAAGATTTTTAAAAATACTTTTAGTAAATAAACTTGTATTATTTAAATTAAAAACAATGAAGTGAAAATAAAGTGAAAATAAATTTTTAATTGAATTGAATTGTAATGAGGAAACAAATTTAGTGAAAATAAAGTGAAAACAGTGAATTGAATTGAATTATAAATTGAAAACCGTGAAGTGTAAACAAAATTTTTAATTGAAAATTATTAAAATTTTTATATTTTATTATTTATTAATTTGTTGTATTTATTAAGATTAAATTTTTTTTATTATTAAATTAAATAGTGAAGTGAAAATAAAGTCACTAAATTTAAAACAACTTTTAATTTGTGGCATGAAAACCATGTCACTAATTAGTGATATGGAAATCATTTGGGAAACCTCGACGTGAAATTTACGTCAGTAATTAGTGACGTGATTTTTACGTGGGAACTTTTTCAATTAATTTGGTGCTTTGTGACGTGAATTCCATGTCACAAATTAGTGACGTGAATTTCACGTGAGAAAATGTTTCCACAGTTGCTTTTCCGACATGCTCTACCCATGTCAGAAATCTTGTTCAGTGACGTGGTTTTTAACTTAGTGACGTGAATACCACGTGAGAAATTGCAATATTTCTTTTAGTGAACTTACTCAAACTAAAAACAAATTGCAATGGAAACAATTCTAAGCCGAATGTAAGGAATGAAACTCAACGTACATTTCTACGAAATATAAAGAAATCAACTAATACAAAAAAATTACAATGCAAATGATAAAATCAAATTATAAATATATGATAATTTTGAACTATCCAAAATACAACAAAACATCAAAATAAACAGAGGAATTTCATAACAATATTCTTCTAGATTCTGATAACAAATAGATCAAGGTTATGTCAAAAAATTTCATGATAGTTTTCACGCTAAAACAGTGAATATTGCACCTATATCAGCATAGTTAGAAGGGAGAGTGTTATCCATATTTTAGTCGAGAATAACTTATAATTTCGTGTTGATTTTATTAATACTAAATGCAAGTTTAGTAAAACTATTTATACAATAGATAATGTATATGCAAGCTTTTGAATTTGAACTCTATTATCCAAGTTAACCATAATTGGTGTGAGGGATATGATTAACTTGTTAATTTTAGCATATTCAATGATTAGATGAATTTTTATGTTATGAAGAGTCCCGATAACAACCTTCAAAATTTTATATTTAATAAAATCGCCCGAGACTTTCATGTCTCACAATATTTTTTTATTTTCAGTTACTTTTTTTTATAAACTTTATCTTTATTTATAAAAAAATTATAATTATCGTGTTCTCTTTCACAATTCAACTTTACTTCAATAATAATTTTTAAAAATAATTTAATACCTTAAAAATTAAAATAAAATTCCCGTCTTTTGATATCTCGCAATTTGATAAAAAGAGTAGAAAAAATTCAACAAAAAATATTAACAATAAAAAAAAAAGAAAAAAAAAGAAAAAGAAGAGGAAGAAGCAAGTAGTCAAGAAGAAGTATTAAGAAACCTCAACTCAAATAGAAAGCTATGTAGTTGCATCATGCTTCAAGTTTCAACCTTGAAAAAACTATACTTAAATCTAAGTTAATTACTATTCTACCCATTCCTTTATTACTACCTACCTTCATTACCCTTTGTTCCACTTCTACATCTCTCTCTATATATCAATCTCCATGATGTCTCCCTCTCTCCCAAACAAATTTTCCTTCACAAGCAAAACTTCTATTTTTTATTCCTTTAAAAAATAAAAATCCCTTTTTATTTTATTCATTCAATAAACTCATTTTCATTTTTCACACATATTTAATCAACTCTTCTTATTAATAATCTTTCTTCTTCGATCTACTTGTTTCTCAGTTTCAGAGCTCTTCTCGTTACCCCAAACTACACTACACTTTTTTTTCTCTCCTTTTTAAGAACCCTAAGTTATTAACATCGTGTTATTTTCAATGCACTTGTGGTTGATGCTAATGAAGAATTAGTAAAAAGAAAAAAACAGAAAGAAAAAAATCAATTTTCGGAGGAAAAAATGCGCGTGAAGGAAATGCACCCGTTGTGCTGCATCTCATTGGAGAGTCCCGGGATCGGAAGTCATTCTCCGGAGCCAGACGCGGCGGCACTTTCGAGGACGAGGAGTTTACCGGCGTGCGGATCTGACCGCATTTGTCGCCGTGGATCAGAGGCGACGGTTGCCGGAGTTCTCTATAAGTGGACTAATTACGGTAAAGGATGGAGATCCCGGTGGTTTCTCCTCCGTAATGGCGTGCTTTCTTACGCTAAGATCCGGTCGCCGGAGAATCTCAATCTGTTCTCTCCAATCGATGATGTTCGCTTAATTGGAGATGTTACCGCTAACCGTCTCGCAAGAATGGATAGAGACGCCGGAAACGCCGTTCGCCGGAAGAATCATAAACCTTCTTCGTCTTCATCTTCTCCTCCTACGGTGGTTCATTTGAAGGTATAATCACTATCAACGTAAACAGTAAACAGTAAACACTTCTTTAATTTTCATTATTATTTATATTAATCTTATTATTATTGTTAATTTTGTTCTTCAATTTGGTAAATAATTATCGGTTAATTTGTTTATGATAATTGAAATTAATAGAGGATTCATGAGATTTGTTATTGTGAATATGTGATCTGAATCACTCGTTATAGTGTGGGTCAGGACATGACTCGGTCTTGCTTTAGCAGTGTCATGTTCGACATTTTGGCGCTACCTCATTGCTTCTTTCCTGTAGAGGAAAAGCAAATTTCAAATTAAAAAATGAATTATTTTTCGTCATAAATTTTTTTTTTTTTTACTATGGTGGAGTAATTACAGAAGGCAATGAAAAGATTTCATTGATTTCAGGCCATATTTCAGATCGAGATTGTTCCTCTGCCAGTGTAAAATTATTAGTGAAAAAAAATGGTAAGAAAGGGTCTTTGATGTCCGAGCAATAATGTTAAAACCCAATGGTTTCTAGGGTGATATATGGCGATTTAGAATTCTAAAATGAAAGTTTAGTTCAAGTGTTACAGTTTTAACTGGTTGTTAATGCTGAGTGGGTCACATCAACAGGTGGCTGTGAAGGGTAGGGATAGCCTACAAAAATTGTGATTTAAGAGAGTGAATGAATAGCCCTATCCTTATGGCATTTACTTGCGGTCACGTCAACTCTCTCTACCTTTCCTTCATCGACATTGGTTCTGAAATTGGCTTTTCTTCCTTTCTTTCTTCTTTCTCCCTCTTACTTTTTCATCACCACACCATTTTTTCTGCAAATCCTACCTTATCTCTTGCCATTTTAAGCCTTAAAAAAGTCCAACCTAGTTTTTTTGTGTATTTTTTTCCCAGGCGTTGTAAAATTTTAATTTTTTTTTTATTTAAAAAATATTTAGATTAGAGATTAGATAGAAAAGTGAAAGCATGGGAGTATATTGTAAAGGCCCCTCTTCTATTTTGTCTTTGTCAACAGAAATATATATGCGTGGGACTTTCCACTAAGGTGGTGGGGTATATAATCCAGGTCAATATTTTCTTTTCCTTTAAAAAAGTTTATAATTTAAATGGGTGCTCTTATAACCCTTTAAGGTCAAAATTCTAAAGCCATTCTTATCCTCACGGATAAAAGGGGAAAAACATAAACAAGTTGAAGGCAGTAAGTTTTATTTATTGATTATATTTTCACATCATTACATTCTAAACCCGAATCAAACTCGAATGATTCTAGTCAATCAGTGGTAGTGTCATTTCATGATGTCCGGGTGATAAGGTAATTTCATTTTCAAGCTCTTTTTGATAGATAACCTTGTTTTTCTCAACAAGGTGGCGGCTTTTTGTATTCTACTCCTTCTCCTATTACTAGTTTATTGTTGCTGCAGTGTTTCATTAATTTACTCTCTAAAAAAACAAACTTTTTCTTGTGGATAAATCATATTCTAGTATATACCTTGCTTTTCTTTTTATTTTGTAATAAATAATTAAAAAGGATAAAGCGGTGATGTTTAGTTCTTGGTTGAATATAATGTTTTACAGATCTCGTCGTTTAGAGAGAGCAAATCAGACGACAGAAAGTTTTACATATTTACAGCAACAAAGACACTCCATCTTAGAACTGATTCAAGGAAAGACCGCGTGGCATGGATACAAGCTTTGGTGTCAACTCGTAGTTTGTACCCACTAAGCGGTCATCATCTATTCCTTGCACCTTATCATATATCTGTATCTACCGAAAGGCTTAAGAAACGCTTGGTTGAAGAGGGTAGCAGTGAGAATCTTGTCAAGGAGTGTGAGCAAATTATGCTTGCAGAGTTTTCCGAATTACAAGAGCAGCTGAAAATTCTTTGTCAAGAACGATCAAGTCTGTTTGATACGATTAGGCAGTTGGAGGTAATTTTTGTTTTCATTATTTATTTGTTTTGTATGATTTCTTTACCTTTTGAATTCTTCTGACAACTTCTTTGTTTGCTTCGCATAAAATCTTAAAATACTACTTAATTTACTCATACAATAATATTTTCATTTCAAATTTTCTAGAATGAAACATGTGGATTCTATGAATGATGAACTGTAAAATGGGTCCAAACGAATTGTTTTATTTATATTTTTCATTTGGGCGTATCAATAATTCAGACCTGAACCAACTTGACAAAATCATTCACTGAATTATTACAAGAATAATATCCCAAATATTTCTTGTCAGACATAAGCTATATGTCATTATTTTGGAAGTCATGAGATATTTTTTTTCCTAATGCTCCAGCATCCATTGTCTTAAAAATGGTTTATCATTTTTCCAGCCTTTTTTAGCTCCCCAAAATGTATTTTAACTAATCACGGTTCTATGATATTTTGTTTTCTATGCTATGTAATGAGGTTTTTAGTCATGGTTCTATGAAATGCCAAATCTTGTATAAAAATAATATTTTTGGGGATAAAATTTCAACTTTTCAATTGATGTATCATATATTTGCTCTAACATTACTATTGGGACTTTATTTATGGACTGTTGGTTACTATTTTTAATTTATTTACTGTATTATTGTATGTGAAATGAAATTATATATATTTAGATGTTTTTACTGAGATATTTTTAAAATAAATTTGGTGCAAAACTTAGTTATCTCGCTGTTTGAAAGAACATGAGTTTCTATTGTTGTTTGATAGAACATGAAGTGGGTCAAATTTCACATGATGTGTTTGGTTCATTTGGTCATGCCTTTTTGCTGATATATTGTTTTTTTCTATATGTCTTGTCATTAATTTGAAACTTTGATGCTAGTCTTATTTGTTTTGAGACCCTCTTTAGTCTACCACTCAATGAATGTTGTAACTCATGATACTCATAAAAAATTATCACTTGGTAGCACCACCTGAAATATTTATTCTTGCTTTATATTTGAATTCTAAAATCTATCCAGTTTGATGCTTTCTTCATGTTTGCATGTGTTTAGTTTTCTAGGGGTTGAAGCTCTTGTTCTTTATATGTGACTTACTAGACAAATCTTTTGTTACTTATCATGAACAGGCAGCTAACATTGAACCTGAGGGCTCTGCCTTGCATGACAGTGAATACCAACTAACAAAGAACGGATTTTCAAATCTAGGGCGTGGAAAATATAGTGGTACCATCTTATATGTTACTTGTGCTTGTCGTTTCATATTTTTTTGATGTATTATCTACTATATGCCGTGACGTTTATTTTCTCTTTTGACGTGATATGCTTCTATTTTGGAATATTTGGTATCTTGATAGTGATCGTAGGGTCCTATTGTCATGTCTTAAATCAACATGAAGAATATTGCTAATATCATATTGTTCCAAAACTCGTTTTGAATTTTTGAAAGTTTCTACTATTTGTTAGACGATATAGTTAAGAGTTTAACTTTTATGCACCGTAAGTGTAAAGATATTTACACGGCCAATGCTTCACAACCACTCATGTGTTACTTTACCTTAGATGTAGTTGAACTAAAAGCCAACTAATATTTAAGATCTAATTGTTACGAAAATCTGACAATGTTTACTCTGTGACTGCATTTGAAGAGGCTTTCTATAAGGGACTTTCAAATAAGGGTCTAAAGATATTATGCTAAGAATTTATCTTTAGACTATATTTTAGAGATCCATATTATATGAGTCTATAAATTGAAATCCACCTTTTACTGTGATTTAAGGCATATTCTTCTTGTTGATATTGTCTCTAATCTCTGCAGTTTATTTTATTTTTATTATTTATAATTATAGTAGACGTATCAGGAAAGACTCAAATGTAAATGGTGTGTTTGATACACGTAACCAATCCCATTTAGTGAGATAATGCTTCGTTGTTGTTAATGGAAACTTAAGGTAGACACCTATAATTAATTTATTTCAGAAATCCAATTGATAGGCTACAAATGTTGGTTTCTTCTGTAAAATTATGGTTACCTGTATGCAAATCAGTGTATCTCTTCTTTGGATGCTGTATGTTTCTTTTAGTAAATTTATTTACAGTCTGCAACCTTTTATTATATGATCCTATTCTTTCAGTATTTAGTACTTATTTTTCACATATGCTTTTGACTTTCAGAATGCAGTACAACAGAATCATCTGATGATATCGAAAAACATGAGGTAGAAGAAGTGTCTGAAGAAGATGAAATATCATATTATGATAGTAGAGACTATTTTACAGAACCTGGTTTTAGGTGTGGGTCAAATATTCTGGATCAAGTGAACATGTCCGGGGAAGCTAATAGACAATGCCTTGATGTGGAAAACAGTCATGTTGAACCAATGATATATGATTATGGGTATCCTCAGATTACAAGGCGAAAAAAGCTTCCAGATCCTGTTGAGAAGGAGAAGGGCGTTAGTCTTTGGTCCATGATCAAAGACAATGTGGGCAAAGATCTCACACGTGTTTGCCTTCCTGTATACTTTAATGAGCCAATCTCATCCCTTCAGAAATGTTTCGAGGATTTGGAGTATTCTTATCTTTTGGATAGAGCTTATGAGCATGGAAAATCGGTAATATATGCAATATTGCTGTATTCGTTTGTTAACTTCTCTTGCAATGCAAACAAAACAAGTTTTCGTACTTAATAGTGCAGAATTTAATCTATATTCTCCATTAACTAACACAGATTTTAGTCATTTGATTGGAAATATGGGTAAACATATACCTGATTATCTTGGAGAGTTTTGTTTATGATGTTGCATGTCTGATTTTAATACGTTAAATGCAACGACTATATTATCTTGGAGAGTTTTGTTTATGATGTTACATGTCTGATTTTAATACGTTAAATGCAACATCTATATTTGTTCTTCAGTTTTAATGGAAGAATGATAATTGTAGTCAACCATTTCATTTGTTTCTGCTTGTATTTGCTTGTGACTTGTCTTTGTTCAATTAATATGAATGCATAGAGTTTTTTTTTATGGGAGTTTGTACTAACAATTTGGCATCATTTAGTATCTTTTTAATTTTCCTTAATTTATAGATAAAACATGGCATCATTTAATGCTCTTGCGTGTGACACTTCAACCCTTTGAATTGTATTTTCAGGGAAACAGCCTCCTTCGGGCACTGAATGTTGCCGCCTTTGCTGTTTCTGGATATGCATCGTCCGAAGGTCGGCTATGTAAGCCTTTTAATCCCTTGTTAGGGGAAACTTACGAAGCCGATTTTCCTGACAAAGGAGTTCGCTTCTTTTCTGAGAAGGTTAGTACCTTATTATTTCCTGAAGAGGTTTGACTGAGATATGCTAGTAGTGTGAGATATGCTAGTAGTGTTCTTAACTTGGGATAAAAGTGGAGTTCATATTAGTGGACTATTATCTAGTTTTGGTTTGGATATCTATGATGAAATCTGGAGGATGAGCATTATCACAATGGTAAGACCACATATATCTACTTCTCCTGATCTCATTTGGTGGGAGTAAGAGGTGAGAATAATTTAGACCGGCGATCACTACATAGAAACATATGGCCCAGCGTGGCCTGGTCTATTTAGCATAATCCCAAGTTTAAGATTTTCTTAAAGTCATTTAAATTTAATAGGTCAGACTTGGGCTGGTAAAAGAAATCTATTAGTGAAGTTTTCAACAAACTTGCTTTCATAAGACATTTCTAACAAGTTACAAGCTTTAGAAAAGTTTTATTTTAAATATAAACTTGTTAATTTGTGTGAAACAGGTTAGTCACCATCCAACTGTGGTTGCCTGCCATTGTGAAGGTAGAGGATGGAGGTTTTGGGCAGACAGTAACATTCATTCAAAGTTTTGGGGAAGGTCAATTCAGCTTGACCCTGTTGGAGTTCTGACACTTGAATTTGACGATGGTGAAATATTTCAGTGGAGCAAGGTATAAATCGTCAAATGACTATTTGGGTGGGGACTATTATACCATAAAATATTGCTACAATAACTACTGTTGTTTCTCTTAATAGGTTACTACTACAATTTATAATCTTATCCTTGGCAAATTGTATTGTGGTCATCATGGGAATATGGAAATCCGTGGTAATCGCCAACATTCGTGCAGGCTCAAGTTCAAAGAGCAGACCATTCTTGACCGAAATCCTCGCCAGGTAAGAGGTTCTTCCAGTACTTTATGACAACATTACAGTCTGATCTTTTGTTTCTAAACCATTTATTTATTACTAACCCAGTTTGTCACTTAGTTCAACTTTTTGATTAACTTTCCTGCTACATATGTTTTAGGGTCAATTACACTCCCTTCACTTTGAGAGAAATTCAGTTAAAATAATCTAATTTGTTTAAATTTACACTTCTACCCTTATGATAAAAGTTTGACTGTATTTAACTAAAAGTGCAATGCGTATTTATTTCTCAAGAATGATTTTATACGTCTTTCAGAATACATAATCTCTTGCTTATCTAACAAAAAAGAATACACGTGTAATTGTCTAGTATTTACTGTTTTGGATATTCTTTTGGCAATGGCATGTGGCTACATTCCAAGTTTCTGAAGGGAACTTATCTTTTATGCTCTTTCTTCTAATTAGGTAAATGGATTTGTTGAAGATACAATGGGTAAAAAAGCAGCCACAATATTTGGCAAGTGGGATGACAGCATTTATTATTTTGATGGTGATGTGAATGTCAAGCCTAAAGATTATACTTCGTCCAGTGGAGCATTATTGTGGAAAAGGACTAAGCCACCACAGAATCTCACTCGTTACAATTTGACATCATTTGCCATAACACTGAATGAGCTTACACCAGGACTAAAGGTATAATGAGGTATTGAATTATTATTCAATGTGGGTTTTCATTTTCCTTCTTAAGCATCTCTAGTCCTTCATTATAGCCATTTTCTGATGTATTTGATCACTGATTTAAAGGAGAAGCTTCCGCCCACGGATTCCAGGCTGAGACCTGATCAGCGGCACTTAGAGAATGGGGAATACGAGAAGGCTAATATGGAGAAACAAAGGTTGGAAAAGAGGCAAAGAATGGTATGTTACTTTTATGATAGTTTTCTTGTTTATTACTTTTTATGCTCTTTTTACCGTCCCAACGTGGCTTCATTAAAAAATGATGTTTTATTATTTTTACACCGATGGTTGCAATACTTTTTTTTTTAACCTTTATTTGGATGGATTTGCTTTGTATACAGTCAAGGAAAATGCAAGAGAATGGTTGGGAGCCAAGGTGGTTTCGCAAAGAAGGTGAAAATGGAACATTTCTATATACTGGCGGATATTGGGAAGCTAGAGCTGTAGGAACATGGGATGGATGCCCAAACATATTTGGTGAATTTCAAGAAAGCATCGTTGAAACCTTATGATGCATCTTGATTTTTGTTCAGGTAAAGTAATGTAGTACATACATAATGGATACTACACAACCTTAAGAATGTTAATACTTTTCCCTATGTAATTGAAGGCACCTCCTTGGCTTATTTAAATGTGTTTGAAATCATGGAGTGTAAGACAAAATCACTGTGATGCCACTTTCCACTGTGAGTGCGTGTTTGGTATCACATTGAGTTTGTTGAAATGCATAATAGCATATCTTGAACCGTTTAATTTTATTTAGACAAATATTAGTATATACTAGACAATGACATATACTAATACTATTGCAGATGGATCCTCTGTGAAGGGTTTATCTTGAGCCTTCTTGCATGGCCAATACTTTTTTTATGGAATGGACGAGATAGCAGCCATCTGGTTGGGAAGATTTTGTTGAATGACCTTGTGTAATGACAAAAACAATAAAAGGAGTAGAGAAAAAGTAAATCATATCAAGCAATATTCTATCTCAAAAAGTTGCTTGTGGAATTAAAAGGGCTCAATTGTCTATGCTGCCGAAGTTGTAATTTTCTTAACCTAATGGACTAAGCTTTGCACGCACACAGCTCTTTGCTGAGGCGGTGTTCAATGAGAATCCCAAACTGAGGCTGTTATTACTTCCCCAGATGAGCATATATATTATATATAAGCAAAAGATTAAGCTTAGCAAAAATAGCTCTTAGATTAGGACATGTTGTCTGTGCTCAATTGTCACAATCTTATTCTTTCTTGTTTTTTTAAATTTTGTTAGTATGTAATTATTTGGGGTATTAGTTTATGTAAGATTCTCTTCCTTTTAATTCTGATATAACTACTGACATGGCCGAAAGGTTATATATCGATTTATTTCATATTTTGCATTTTCTAATCAATAAATGATGAGTTTTTTAGTCTCATTTGTTCTTAAGTTTACCGCTAATCTTTCACTTGTACATTTTTCATTTCACGTATATTCAGAAAAAGAAAAGAATACTTGAAGTTTTAAATAAGCCATCATAGGTTGTCGTAAGAGAATATATACTATGGTGATATTGTGTTGCCTAAAGAAGCTGTGCGTAGCACAAAGAATAAGCTAGTTAATCAGGTTGCCAGAAAAAAGATGCTCCATATCCACAAATTCAACATTGAAATCAACATCAACACCACAATCTTATACAACACAAGTATCTCAGTTCTTCACCCTTTCTTTCTCTTTGCTTACGTTAAAATCTCGTTTTTCTTTTCAATTATGTTAAAATTAAGTTGGTTTTGGAGAGCAATAATCTTTAATTTTAGTTTTAGTGACAATAAAGTATATAAAAAACCAATTTATCTAACAAGTGTTTCAATGGATGAAATGTATTTTTAATGGTGAAAAGCAAGCAAAATATTGTCACTCAGAAATAAAATTTTGAATTTACTCTAATAATAAATCGTTTTATTTTTTATATTTTCGAAAACATATCTTTGGACATATTAAAAATTACACTTTTTTTATTTGTCTGAGATCCACCAAACTTGTAAAAAATATGGTTCAAAAATGCATTTTTGTATAATATTTTGGTATGTCTGAATATGTATCTTTGAATTATCCCCAGTACTCATTTATGGTGTTTTATTCACTAAGATGATTTATTCAACGACTCAATGATGTTTCCGGATATGCATCTCGGAAATATTTTGTGAAAAATTTAATAAAACACCACCTTACATGATCTTTTTCTTCATGCAAAAAATATAACTCCATTTTAAAAACCTTTACAAAATTGCTCTCACTCTCAATCAACTTTTCAACGTCAAAATATCATTATAGTATTTTATCACATGAAAGAGAGTAAAAGAAGCTAAAAAATATCATTATTGTATTACATGTAAAGTTCATTCGTTTTATCTCTAATTCCTTACATTAATATGATGTTTGAGTTGGGAAAAAAAAGTTGAGTCCGGATATGTATCTCTGAAAAAGTTTGGTATAGTTCGGAGATGTATATTCGAATTCGAATGACACTTTGAGTTTTAAAGTTGTTTTTTTTCTTTCTGTTTTCGGTGTCATTAGACATGGTGCACCCATATATGTTTCTCAAAGCTATTGTGAGTGTGAATGTTAAACCGAATGAAGTAAATGATGATGTTAAACTGGGTGCTCGACCGAATTGTTAAAATAGACGTTCGAGAATAATTTACGAATAAACAAAAGTTTATTGTTCGTGAACACATGCTACAATGGAACCGTATGGAGGCTAGAAAATTGGAGTTTGGAGTTGTAATTGGAAGGTACGACAATGGTTCAGATCAAAGACAAGCATTTGTAATAATGAGGTGCGAAAGAAGTGGCACGTACCAACCATAAATAAGGAAGTTGAAACGTGATGACATAGGATCGAGAAAATGTGAGTGCCCGTTTAATTTGTGACGATATTGTATGGCAGATGAAACATGAAAATTTAATGTGATTTCCAGTATACTTAATCATGTCTTGATTGACAAGCTAGTCGGTTATCTCATTGTATATCGACTTGTTCTGAAGGAGAGAGAACTTGTTTCGAAAATGACTTTAAACATGGAGGAACCAAAAACATACTCGCATATTTGAAACGAAAAAGACTTGTAAATGTTTCTAAATGTTTCAAATCTCAATGCTTTTTTTCCTTGTCTTAATGGTCCGACACCGTTTGAAAAATGGACGCGCTTCCCGAAAATGAGACATCTTATAGCAAGTGACTATGATAGGGTGTGTATTGATTTAACACGATATGGTTTCTCGAAAACATTCTTTCCACTTGGGGTAAGCCACATCAAAATCTATCAGAACACATCATGTGTATTGGTTAGCTATAAAAAAAATATGTTGTTCATAATTATTTGAAACCATAATGTTATATCCCAAAGACATCATTGAAGTGGACAATACATTTCACACAAGACGCTGAATCTTAGTTGGATCATTTTCTGGAAATGATGGACGAGCTCACCAAGTTGAGCGACATTGAAAGATAAACAAATAAAGAAAGGTCGAAGAAGGAACCATCCGTAGATTTAGGTAGTGACATATCTTTTAATGCCTTTTGGTTTTAATCTAACAATGTAATTGTTTTTTTTATGTAACACACCACATAATGTTATAAAATTAAGTGGTATTTTTTGGACAATTTTAGTGTTTCTAAAATTCTGCACTGCATAATACACCGGTTCTATATGAATAATGGTTTGAGTGGGTCTAGAGATACATCTCCGGACACACCTTTTACTTATAAAAAAAAATACAGGGGCGTATCTGGAGATGCATCTCCAGACACACCTTTAAATTATGAAAAAAAACAAATAAGGGGTCTATACGAATGTGCATCTCTATAAAGCACCCTGATGATATGATAAGGTTTGTAAGGTCTTTATTGATATACAAGTTCTATAAATAAGGTATCTTATTCCATTTTCTTTACACAAACCAAAACGACTAAATATCTCTATCGTGCATTTGAGTATTTCAACGTGCAAAACCCCCCCACTTCAATTTTGACTCTACGAGGACATATTTCTTGTCGATCTGAAAACCAAACTAAATACTCTCATGCGATAGTCAGAAAATTGTAGAATGTTTGTTGTTGATGATGAAAATGATATGAGTTTAAGTCTTATTTATAGGGAAATATGAGATAATGAGAGAGAGAGAGTAGTATTTTCATGTATGCAGTAGCCAAGCGTCAGGTTAATTGGGGAAAACATTCAAATTCAAGTACCATCATCAATTGGATTGACGATAACATATGCTTCATAGGGTTCGCAGGTTGCACAGGATGCATGTATAGTAGGCATTGCAGAATTCACATGCATGCAAGTTACGCAGGTTATGCAGGTTGTGCAGGATTCCCAAATGGTTAACACTTGAACAAATTGGACAAGCGACGACCTTGTAATTTTCATAGAAATCTCCAATTGAGTTGGCGAGTCTTAATAATGGCCCAATTTGACATCAATTTAAACCAAGTTCAGAACAATCTAACCAATTTCATACCAAAATACTCAAGCCATGTCTTCCGCACCTAAATACATTATTAATGCTCACTATAATTGAGAGACACATGTCTCTGATGTATCTGGGTTTGGTTTTCAAACACCAAAAATGTCTGTTTTGCAATCAATAGAAATTCAAATTTCTAGCACTTGAAAAATAGAATAGAATCAAAACTAAGATCTAGTCATGTATCATAAATTATAGATCAAAATCCTTTTTTTTGAAAACAATCACGTTAAAAATAAATGCACACGTATTAGAACATAAATGGATACATTTGATAAAATAGTATAATTATGTGGTATATGTCATCATCTCAGACACAATCTAATTTGTTTCCCAATGTTGGAGCAAGCTCTGCATGATAACTCATTTTTTCTTTAAATTTTTGTAACCTTGGCATTTAATATATGCAACAAAGTTAACATAAACACCCTTAAACAAACAACACCTGAACATAAAAACCCCTAAAATAAACAGCACACAAACATAAACATGCCTAAAAGTACATATAAAAAGACTTAATACTATAATTTGTCTAAGATTACAACAATCAAAACAATATCATATGATGCAGACATCATATTCCTAACATCATTGTGATATTTAACTCACACCCACATATGTTATATATCATTATTGTCATCTGTAATTGAGATGTATGGAACAAGCCTCTCGATACTTCTAAATTTTTCCCTATAATTAATATCTCAGTCTAACCAACAGTTTAAACTCCTTTCAAGTTGCTCGAAACTTTGGATGTTCCAAAAACGCATCTTCATTGGAGGCTTGGTTCTTGAAAAACATACATATCCCTTTCTTTTAACAATCATGATAGACCTAGTGAAGAAAAGATAAGAAGAAAATATAAGAAAAATATGAGAAGATGTATGGAGTAAATGATAGAAGGCACCTCTATTTATAATACAAAAACATCTAACACATATTAGCCAGATGAATTGGTGTTTCCACTTAGGTATTGTACAAAGGCGCCATACAAAT